GGGAGCTCTTTGCAGATAGACTTGTGTGTGCTAAGATTACCTGTTTGAGGAACAGTTAAGAGACCCCAGGAACTGGGTAAATTCAATGTGTGAAGCTCGATGGCTTGGAGCACCATTGATCACATCACATGGCAGCTGTTTTGTCTTTCATGTGGATCCAATCTTAGTCAGACTTTCAATAAAGTGTTTAGCAAGGAACTCTCTGATCTCTTAAATACTAGTGGTGCAGTAATAGCAGTGCAGTGCAATGCTGAACAGTCAGTTACTTGAAGGGTTGCTCTATCAAGTAAGAATGTATTAAAGTTTCTTGTGTCATTGCTGAGGCTGGGATGGTTGTGCCAAGAACAACAGTGTTAACCCTGATATTCCAAGTTGCATAAACAATTTCTGACCAGCCATGTTGGGGGTTGTATTTGCAGAATGCTTGTCTACATAGTGCTGAGTACAACAGAGAAGAATGGTATGTGTGCCTGTGGCATTGACAGTCACAACTGACTTCACAGGGAAATGCAGACACTTAGCGTCCCAGATGATGGGGTGATGAACAGAATTACCTCTTCATGTTCTTCTGTTACCCCTCACTCCCACTCAGAACTGCTTTTCCTTTGTTAAAAGGTAAAACTATGCACCATTTTCCTTATTGTGAATGGAAGCTCTATTTTAAGAAAGGATCTGAAATCTTCTACTGATTCAGTTAAATGTGACATTCATTTGAAAATCAGTCCCAGGTTCACTCCAGGACTGGCTGCCTGTCATAGTCAGGTGAAGGACTATGCATGCTATTTAGTTTGCACAAAAGTGGAAGAAAGTGAACATGGATTTGAGCTCTGCTAACTCCTTCTAAGTAGCCATGCATGTTGCAGCATGAGAAGGCCTACTGAACTTTGAGGTACTCCTTGTGACTCAAGTCATTGCTTGCTGTAAGCAGATGTGATTGGCTGTAACCTTCATCTTACTGAGTGCTGAAGGCCCAGTACAAATGCAAGCAATTATCACTATTATGCTGTTGTTGCAGACATCTTTGCTTGGCAACAGCAGCTATTTCTAACTTGTTAACCTGTCTGGAGGTCCCCGAAGGTATAATGCAGTACTGTTGTAATTTAGCTCTATATATCTACTTGAAACTAACCAACCAAACTTAAGAACTACATTTCTCATCCAGAAATCGTTACTACAGTGGGATAGAGTTGGGCTAAAAGCATTTCAGGCTTCAGAAAAAGTCACATAAAACATTCTTCAGTGCTGCATGATAGTTAGAAAATGCCATAGAATCACAGAATAGTTTGGGTTAGAAGGGACCTTAAAGATCATGTAGTTCCAACCTCCCTTCCATGGGCAGAGACACCTTCCAGTAGAGCAGTTCACTCAAAGCCCCATCAGCCTGGCTTTGAACAAATCTGGGGATGGGGCATCCACCGCTTCTTGGGGCAACCTATTCCAGTATCTCATCACCCACATAGTAAAGGACCTCTTCCTACTGTCTAATCTATATCTCCCTTCTGTCAGTTTAAAGCCATTCGCCCTTGTCCTGTCACTACTTGCCTTTGTAAAAAGTCCCTCTCCAGATTTCCTGTAGGCCCATTCTAGGCACTGGAAGCTGCTTCCAGGTCTTTCTGGAGCCTTCTCTTCTCCAGGCTGAAGAAACCCAACTCTCACACCCTGTCTTCATGCAGGAGGTGCTCCAGCCCTCTGAGCATCTTTGTGGCCTTCCTCTGGCCTCAATCCAGCAGGTCCACGTCCTTCTTATTTTGGGGGTCACAGTATCACAGTATCACAGTATGTTAGAGATTGGAAGGGACCTCAAAAGATCATCTAGTCCAATCCCCCTGCCGGAGCAGGAACACCTAGATAAGGTTACACAGGAACGTGTCCAGGCGGGTTTTGAATGTCTCCAAAGAAGGAGATTCCACAACCTCCCTGGGCAGCCTGTTCCAGTGTTCCATCACCCTCACTGAGAAGAAGTTTCTTCTCAGGTTTAAGTGGAACCTCTTGTGCTCCAATTTGTACCCATTACCCCTTGTCCTTTCATTGTTTGCCACTGAGAAGAGCCTGGCTCCATCCTCGTGACACTCCCCCTTTATATATTTATATACACTAATAAGGTCCCAGAGCTGAATACAGTACCTCTCACCCTAACCTCATCAGGTCTCATGAGAGAAGAGTAAAGGGGCAGGATCACCTCCTTCAACCTGCTGGTCACACTCCTTTTGATGCAGCCCAGGATACAGTTGGCTTTCTGGGCTGCAAGCGCACACTGAAGCTGGCTCATGTTCGTTTTCTCATCGACCAGCACCCCCAAGTCCTTCTCCACAGGGCTGCTCTGAATCTCTTCTCTGCCCAACCTGTAGCTGTGCCTGGGATTGCTCTGACCCAGGTGTAGGACCTTGCACTTGGGATGGTTAAACTTCATAAGGCTGGCATCAGCCCACCTCACAAGCTTGTCAAGGTCCCTCTGGATGGCATTCCTTCCCTCCAGCAGATCAACCGAACCACACAGCTTAGTGTTGGCAGCAAACTTACTGATGGTGTGCTCAATCCCACTATGTTGATGAAGATACTGACAGTACTGGTCCCAGTATGGACCCCTGAGGAAAGCTACTTGTTACAGATCTCCATTTTGATATCAAACCATTGACCACAACTCTTTGAGTACAACCATCCAGCCAATACTTTATCCACTCAAACCCCCATCTGTCAAATCCATGCCTCTCCAGTTTACAGACAAGGATGTTTTGTGGGACAGTGTCAAACACTTTGCACAAGTCCAGGTAGATGATGACAGTCACTCTTCCTTTATCAGTAATTGCTGTAACCCTGTCGTAGAAAACCACCAGATTTGTCAGGCACAATTTGCTCTTAGTGAAGCCATGTTAGCTGTCATAGATCACCTTCTCATTTTCCATGTGGCTTGGCATAATTACCATGATCTTGTTGGCCACTGAAGTGAGACTGACTGGCCTAGTTCCCCAGGTCTTCCCTTTTTACCTATATAGAAATCAAGGTTATAGTTCTCCTTTTCCAGTCAGTGGGAAACTCAGTGGACTGCAATGACTTCTCCAATATGACAGATAGTGGCTTAGCCACTTCATCTGCTAGTTCCCGCAGTACTCATGGATGCATCTCATCAGGTCCCATGGACTTGTGCACTTTCAGGTTCCTTAGATGGTCTTGAACCTTCTACCAGGGCCTGAGCTTTCCCAGCTTTAACTTTCCTAGTTGATCTGTGGCTGCTGGGATATTTTCTCTGTATTCCTCCCAAGCTACCTGTGTTTCCACCCTCTGTAGGCTTCCTTTTAGTGTTTGACTTTGTCCAGGAGCATCTTGTTCATGGCGCAGGCCTCCTGTTGTTTTTCCCTGATTTAATCTTTGTTGGAATGCAGGAGGTGATCCTTAAATATGATCCTTTTTTTTTTGGGCCCCTGTTCCTTCCAGAGCTCTATTCCATGGTACTCTATGAAGCAGATCCTTGAAGAGACCAAAGTCTGCTCTTCTGAAGTCCAGAGCAGTGAGCTTGCTGCATGCCCACCTCACTGTGCTAAGTATCTCAAAATCTACCATTTCATGGTCACTGCAGCCAAGTCTGTCATTCAGCTTCACATTCCCCACCAGCCCCTCCCTGTTGGTGAAGACAAGGTCCAGCATAGCAGCTCTCCATGTTGGTACATCTGTCACATGGAGAAGGAAGTTATCATGAACACATTCTTAGAATAACCCAACTCTTGAGTGGGTACTTTAGGAGCTTGCATTGCCTGGATTATTCTAAGTCATGAAAAAAGAAAATCCAGCTATTTTATTCTGGAAAGCATTTTGCCAACTCTTTGGCTGTCATGTGTATGTAACTGTAGTTCCCTCAAGGACAATGTGGTGGATCAGCATGCTGAGGGCTACGATCTACAGCCTGTAGCTTTTTATATCACATGGCTTAAGAATGGTCCTCTTTGTTTCCATTTTGAGCCACAGCTGAATTCTTACATGTTGTTTGATCTTCAGGCACAAATACCCAAGAGAATAGGCAGCTGTGAATCAACCCTCTGTGAGCTTTCTAGCAGGTAGTCTAGCAAAGAAGGCAGTATGCTTCTCCTTTCTTTAAATTGATAAGAACTTTAAGAAAGACTTTTATTAAAGTCTTATGACTGATTGTTTTCTTCCTCATGATAGTTCTGAATTGCACGCAGAAATATAAGAACCTTTTAAGAGAGCTCTATGGGTTTAAATCTAGTCTGTTAGATTAATAATTAAAACTTGCTGTCTTTATGCTAGCCTAAATCTTATAAGAAGGATCACCTTTCTAATTACTTGGTACCAGGAGGTCTGGCACATGTTTTCATTTAGTACTAAGGTACACAGTTGTTCTGTTTTTTCTTCTCCTTCTCCTTCTTCCATAGATTCTATATTATATTTTGGAAATCTGACATCCTGATTTTTATTTTTTTTTATTTTTTTTTCCAGGCCAGATGTTTCACCCGGCTATCTTAAGTCATCTTGACATACTGCCATGAAATGGAAACAACTGCTAGTTTAAACACTGCTCCATGTCTTTATTAAAAGGTATGTCTCATGCATCTTAATTCCTCATATGCATGTTATTTTCCTCTCTCCTGCTCTCTTCCATTACCTTTCTTTCTTTTCCTCCCTAAAGAAGAAAGCATAATAAAATTTCCTTCCTGTTCTGCCTGAGTGGTTAATGAGGTTCTAGATAGCATAATGAATATGCAGTGCTATTGATTCTGTGTGTGTGCGCGCGCGCGTGTGTGCGTTTGTGTATGCATGTCTTTAATCACAGCTGGAATGCAAAATCAGGCTCCACTTTTCAACTCTATCTCCATCATGCTGAGAGAGTGAGAGAGAGCGAGACTGAGACTGCTAGACAGCTCGAAAGAGATTGCAGCTCAGATGTCCTGGAAAACAGCAAATCCCTCAGACCTGGCAGATTCCGTTACCATGAGAACTGCAGATATTTCCATTGTGATGGCTTGCTCTAGCAGCCATCTGTTACACCCATTTGATTAGGAAGTACAGTTCAGCTTGTATGGGATTTTCGCTGCACCTTATCCCATGGCAGTGTACAGAAACTCTCTCTCTTTTTATATGCTAAACTCAATGTTTTTAAAGTGCTGTAATTTACTGAGGCTGAAGGCATTTAATGAAATGCTAGGAGGAGGTCACTGAGGGACAGTATCTCTGAGAAGAAAGAAGCACATGAGATATATGAAGGGGATTAGTGTCCAGTATATAAATAAGATCAACCCAGAAATTAACCGTATTTAGCAATTCCTCATCCTTGCCAGGGAGAGGAGCTTGATATACAGACCTCATGAAGCCATAATAAAATTAGTAATTGCCTCCTGTTAGTGAATCCCATTCCATATATATTTATTGTATGCATGCAATAAATGCATGCAGGCAATATATTTCAGGTCCTCTGAAAGAAGGGGGAAGGTGATGAGTCTCCCCAGCTGCCTGAAGTTGTGCACTGACTGCACTGTATAACTATTAGATTAGCTCTAAAAATTTAATAGTGCTATTTGACTTTTCCTAGACACAGAAAAACCTTAAACTTTCTTCAAGGTTTTCTGTAATTTACTGATTAAAACAATTGTTTGGACTAGTTGAATTCCTCAGTGTAAATTTGTGGTGAAGGAAAAGGTAATGGCACATCAAATGGATATAAAAACAAAGGAGTCCCCTTCAATTAAAACTCTCCAGACATGCTTCTTAAGTGGCTGGCATTCCAGATTCAGGGTAATCTTATGCGTGGTGTAGTTGCCTGGAGTATCTTAAAATGACTGAAGGTCTTGTAAACTCAGTGAAGCTAATTAAATGCTCACACACTGAAATGAATTTCTGATTGCTGCTAAGGAGGCATTGAGGTCAGCTCCTCTTTTCATTGCCCACACTTTATGGCCAATTCCAGATACTAAATAAATCAGATCCTCAGAATCAGTCTCTCTGTGGTTTTGTTCCTCTTATATATTCTCCCACCCGGCTGAACATAATTCCTTATCCGTCTTCATCTCGGCATGAAAAGTTTTCTCTTCTATTGTTTTTCCTCACATAGCACTAGATTACCATGGAGAAGACTATGATATCATAAGAAATGAATGAGCATGTTTCTCACCATGGGTGAAATATACATTCCAGACCTAATAAAGTCAGAAATCATGTAATGGGACTTGTAAAACGAGCTGCTTAGTTAGTGTAAATATAAATGGTTCTTCTTTAGGGCTCTACTTCAGCTAAGCAAGTTCTTAGACACTTTACTGAATATGGAGAGGCATAAGAACATGTTTAAGAGCTTTTCTGAATAGAGATAGTTCTTCAAGTGCTTTGCTGCATCAGGGCCCCCAGATATAAAAAAGAAAGTAAAAATTTCCCTTTCCTCTTGTAAGAAAAGATTTTCTTGTTGATCATCTTTACAGCAAATTAGAACTTTCACTTCCTGCAGCTTCCCATCTTGCATAATCCTGGAGGCTGAGCCTCAGAGAAGAAAGTCCTTTTTTTTTCCCTTCCTTTTTTTTTTTTTTCAGACAGGGCACTTGTTTTATGAATGTGGTATCTGCCTTTGACAGGCAGCAGATGTATGGAAGCCCTGAAATCTGAAACAATAAATACCATTCAGAGTCTCACCACTGAACCTTCTTATAGTAGTGCCTTTGTTAAATGAAACATTTACAGGAATACCATCCCCCCCTTCCCACCCACCTTCAAGGCTAGGATCTGAACCATGTTTTTAAAGTAAAGGTTAAGTACCTGAGGCATGAACAGTTGACATACAAAAGAAACTAAAGTAAATTTATCATTCGTTTGCCAGCTACGAGGTGTGTCGAGGGCTTTTTCTTTCTCTTTGTAATGCATGAGAAAACAAACCTGGGAAGTGTATGCAAGGAATATTTCTTTCTGCACTGGAATGTTAACATTTGCACCTTCTGACTTAATACTGTATATTTCTTTGGAGTCATCAATCTCATGAGAGTCATCTTGCCATCTGTACCAGCATTGCTCCAGGCTTCCATATGAAAGTCCAATCTGGCGGTATAAATACTGGATAATGAAGAGTAGGTGTTAAAGTTTCTGACTGGTTGGAAGATGAGTCTTTGTCTACGAAGGATCTGAATTTGTGTGTTAAACAAACAAACAGAATCCACGTTAGCATGGAAGTTCAACCAGAAAGAGCATGCATGTTTGTCCTCATGCTCTCTCTCACTCTCTGTGTTGTTTCTCAATTTTTTCTTTATCTTTCTCTATTTAATAGAGTTCACCCAAGATCTGAGAGAAAAATGTTCTCTGACCATCATGTTACACTTTGGAAATTACAAATAGGGACAAGACGTTTACTTGCTGTAATGTAGTGTTCTTTTTTTTCTCCCTTTCCTTTTACGCCAGGAAAGCTATAACTACATAGATTAACAAAACTTTTGCAAGAATGGATGTAAACCAGATTTATCTCAGTGTCAGTTTTATCTGATCCATTTGGTCTTGCAGAGTTTGGATGGTTTCCTTTGTTACAATAACCAGCTTTCAAACATCTATATCCTTAGGGTATTAAATGTCAGCCTCTAGTGTACCGTTCAAGGATAAAAGATTGACAATGCTGAAGTCCTATTTTTCTTCTGCTTTTTTTTTTTTTCTTCTCCAGCACTGGTAGAGTCTTTACTCTGCACACCACTGCTGACCCCAGAAATGACCCACAGGTACTACTGGCGAAAGGAGCAAAAAGGTATTTCAGCTTATTGGCATTAGAAACTCCCTTCATTAATAGCCTTTTTGCAGACTTTTCAGATAGATTTCCTGTCATTGTGATGAGGATATATTTGTAACAAGGTCTCTTAAGTGAATGGCCGGTGGATAATTAATTGAACTAACTAGGACTTTCCGTACTGTATTTCCTTTGGGGGGGGGCAAGGAAGCGGGAGGGATGGGGAGGGCAAAGTCTTCCTAATGGTCTTGTGTCCTCTCTGCTGGATGTACAGCCCTTTTGCCACCTGTTGGCCAAGTCTTTCAGGCCTCATTCTAATAAAACTGTTAGGCATTCTCTTGAGAGAGGTACATTTTTTGTTCTGGTTGGCATCAGAACTGAAGAGAATAAGCCCAGAAGACCAGGGACCAGCCGAGAGCCTCTTTAAATGCAGCCAGCAGAACTGTTGTGCTTCATATATAGCTAAGAATACAGGACACCTGAAGTGTGCCGCTTTCTTTTCCTCCTCTTGCTGGCTGAGCATCTGGGACTGCATTGTTCCCCTTCTCTGTGCAAGTGGTTAGCTACCTTGAACTTCTCTCTACACGCGTCTTCTATCCAAATCCACCAAACACAAAGCTCACCACACCACTAATGTGTTGCTGAGCCTGACCTTTCTGGAAGAAGCAGCAGCTCAGAAGACAACATTTGGGCCACATCAGTGTTACACTGTTGGCAGCAAGTAAGGTAGTTAGAGAAAAAATTGTCCTGTTTATATCCTGATGTGTACTGTACTGTGTCCAGTACTGATATGTTCACTATTTATAATGTGACCATAATTACGTTATAATACAGCTCTTCTTAGCACTTCCATTGTTCGTCCTCTAGTATTCCAAATAAGTCACACCAGTGGAAATCTACAGTGAGGCTGAATTAGGGTTATTATTATTATATTTCACTCTTAGATTACCCTCTTAGCACACCGCCCTCCAGCCCCTTTAATTAAAAGCTTGTAAACATGAATTCCATAAATAATTTCTGACTTTCACAGCTGGTTTCAAGACAGCAATATTTGATGTTTTTGAGCAAAATCTTTTTCCTCTCTCAGGGGTCTTAACTTTTTCAGTTTGGAAATGCAATCATGACTCATTAACTTTGCAGTCGCTGGGTCATTTCTCAAAATTTGAAGAAAGTTTCTTGATGAAAAAGCACAATTTTTCTTTGCACAACCAAAAATTTAAATTTTTATTCCAGTTGTCAAAAAATATTGGTAATTACTTTTATTAAGCAGCTCACACATAACAAAACTGTGAAGAAAAAATAAAAAGTCTTATTTGAATGTTATAAATTCATATGTGAAAAAAAAAATGCTTTCAAGGGTAAATATAACTGTTGGCCAAGGACCCATAATCCTCGCAGGAAAACAGCATCCATTAAGGAGGTTAGGGAAAGATATTGATGTGCTGGCCAAATGCTTCCAGGATTTTGTTCTGACAATCCTTTGCATGTTTACTTGATTTTAGTTGTCTCTGTACGGAGTTGGGTGTGTCCACACATCAGCTGCTTTGAGGAATAGGAGTGCTTTACTGCATCTTACATTATTTTCTGTCAGAAACGGTATGCCAAAACAAAGATCTCATTTGAGGCAGCTTGGTCAGATATGTGGGGTTTTTGTCCTCACAGTGACGGATATAATGCATGAACAACATGATTCTTGCCTGACATATATGACATCAGGGTAAGCTTGCCTGACATCAGGGTAAGCTTTGCTGAAATCAGTAGATTTAGCCTACTGTTTGAAGACAACTTAGGAAAATCAGGAGTGCTGTGTCAGCGCTTCCTTCCGTTTGGCACTTACAGACTGGTCTAGACCAGGCTAACAAAAGAAATGAATCCACTAAAAATATGTCATGTAGGTGTCTAAATCGTAGCCTCTGAATTTCAGCTGTAGGAACTGTAATAACTGTTCCAGTCAAGATCTTTAGACACCAAGCGTCCTTCCTTGCACAGCAGCAGAACAAGGTATAGCACACCTCCTCACCTCATCCATACCTGCTGAAGATGTGGTTGCCCTGATAAGTTGCACTCTGTACGTGCAGCTGCTGCAGCCAACAGTTCTGGCTACCATACCTGTACACAAATTCCTGATTCAGTGACTATCGTTTTAAGCATTTCTTTCACGGCAAATGCAAAAAGGGTTTTAGTATGTAATGTGTGTTTAAGCCTGTCTCTCCCTTTAAGTCTCGAGATCAGTTATTTATGGGAAGCAGACCCAGGCAATCTTGCCCTTTTCTTCCATGCATTGAAGGCAGTGAAGGTTGCAATATTAATTGCTGCATCAGCCACTCCAAGATTTAATGTTTTTCCCCATTCTATAGGCAATGTATCTCTTGCATGATTTCCCTCATAGTCTTCACTTTCACAGTCGTCTGAATGATAAGCAACAATAATGTCTCTGGAAGTGATCCATAAATCATATTCAAATCTATGCATCCAAATGATCCTGTTTTTAATCTCTAAACTACTGTAGTGTGTGCTTGCTAGTGCAGTTCAATTGGGAGCATTATGTTCCCCACCTACATATTTCCTTCAAATCTGTGCTAATGCAATGAAAAATAAAAAAAAATAAACTCAACCTGGATCTTGAATAATAACGCATAGAAAAACTATGAGGAAAGAAGACTTCCCCACATAAAATATTTACATGTACTACAAAATAAGACAGTATTTTATCAGGATCTATAGAAATACTAAGAGTGGTCTTGGGTTCAGCAGCACCATAGGTGGTGTTCAGATGCAACCCAGGGTTTAGCAGCATGTAGGAACCAATGAGGACTAAGCCAGAGAGAGGTCTATCTATCTCATCTGACGTCTCGCCACTGATTTCTTGTTCTGCAAGAAGCTCCATGGTTTAGGAAATTCTGAAATAGGCAGGTAAGGTTTTCTTAGCATCCTCATCCTAGTTTTCAGGTGAAGAGGGAGATGACTTTGAGTTGTACAATTTTTTTAGTCTACTGTGATCCTCCTCTTGTCTTTGAGGTCAATGACAGTGGCTGGTGACCTCAGCCTTTTCTCATCAAGGAGCTGGAATCTCACCAATGGAGAAATCTGCATTATAATTTCTCAGGGAAGACTGATTGGGCTGATGGTCAAAGTAATGTTGTTCCTCTGCAGGGTTACATCTGTGGTCTCCTTCCTCAGTCTACAGGTCTGCTTTGCTGCTTTCATACAAAGAAGCCCTCTTCAACAAAGGTGACAAGTTCAGTGTGATGTCTGGTCTTTGAATGATGTCTGGAAACTCTTGCAGACAAGGAGTTGCAGCTTTGGCTGTCATTCAGAGTCTGCAGTAGTTTCTATCTTGGAAACAAGTTGGTATGATCTGGTTTCATTCACTGAAGGCTGGATTATAGGTCCATTGACTAATGAATTTTGGGGGAAGTTAATAGCCTCCAGTCCTTTTAAGTAAGAGGAAAGTATATGGTGCATTTCTGTGATCCGTGCAAAATTACTCCCTTTCAGACTGTGGATCTGAAAGAAGTGATTTTTGAATACATGCAGGCATAAAAAGGAAAGGCTTTTAACACGGAAAACTGAGACTTCTGCAAAAGCTGTGTCCTCTTTGGTCAGCCCTGCCAAGCCAGTGTTTCTAGGGGAAAGAGCAGTGGCATTAATATCATGCTTCCCCATGGCACAGCTTGAATAGCGCAGCCAGTGACTATCACAGGGTCCCCACTCTGTTGCTGTTTCACCGCATGAACTTCTGTATCTTATCATGGGGCTATGTGGCAGGGGAGAAAGAACAGTGTTCCTTACCCACATCTGTTTGCTGGCTGCTCATACAGGGTATGTTAGTAGGAAGGTTTGAACTGATCTTGTTCTATCTAAGGGTATAAATAGTTCCAAGACACTCTTGTGCTCTTAACGGGGATATTCTTGCTTTATTGTAGCTACAGCTGAGTCTTCTTTTTCTTCCTTAGCTTCCCTCAGCCAGGCCATTTGTATCTTCTCAAGATGAAATCAGAAGTGCTGCCAAACTTCACCCAGCTGATGGCTGGTATGGTTATGTCCCTTGTGGAGGTTGCTAAGGATGCTCCTCGCCTGTTCCTGCTCCTGTGCATCTCTAAAACCTCAAGCTCAGACTTGTGCCTGGCCATTTCATTGCAGCTGGATAACAAAGGAGAAGGGAGAAAAGGTGTCTTTTATTACTGTTGCCCCCATGTGCATTAAAGCAAACTGTCCACCCCTTGGCTACATGTTGGGTGTTGCCTGCAGCTCTAGGGGGAAATAGGTAGCTCTTATTCTGCCACTTCTACATATGCCCATCACGTGGCCCAAAGTAGCAGGTGCACATCCCCTCCACTGCCAGGGCACCTCATTATGCAGATATCCCCCGAGGCACACAGCCTCCATAGTGCTACCCAGGCTGGAGTGCTGCCTAATAACCTTGATCCTGACCTGAATGCTAATGGACCAGTGACTTTAGAATGTTCTGTGCCCACTGCATGAGTTTATCTTGAGGTGATTACTGTGGTTACTGGAGAAGGGTTTTTCTCCCAGTGGCTCCTTGACCAGGTAGTGCATGCATTACTTGATAATATCTAAATTATTTATTGTGGCTTTTGATATGGCTTTCATTCAACATTAGCTGATGCGGAAATTCTCAGTTGAATTCACACCAGACTTGCACCCTTCTCTAGCTTTCTTTTTTAAACAAATCCAGCCTTTGTGGAGTTGCAGCAGTGGGTGAGTGGTCAAATTTTAATGCAAATAAGGCTTCATTTAGCAAGCGTAAGCAAGTGTGGACCCAAACCAGATGCAATTTGGTGGATGTCCACACATCAGAAATAGGTATCTGAATGAGAATAAAAAGCTTTGGTTGAGCACACTGTGAAATAAATTACAATTGGGTTCAAAGTCCGCATGGACACTCGTACCTCTGTAGGATACACATTTTTAGAGGCCTAGAACATCCCAACACGAGCAAGAGCTCTGATGTGAATTTTCTGTGTATGTGCTAAATGAAGTGTTTCAGTGTTTCTTATCCTATGCGGATGCAGGCAAAACCTCTCTTTTGGCTGTTTGCTTTTGACTCAGCATTGAGAACTCCCTTTTTCATCAGATAACACTGTAAAGACATGTGAGAATACCCCTGGAGATGCCAGGTATCCTACACAGATTTTCCATCCTGCACATAAATCTGCTGTAATTACCTTCCACAATGCTTATGGGTGGCAACATATTCTTTGATCCTCACTCCTTTAGAGTAAATAAAAGCAACACTAACTATTGCAGAAAAACACATTCACCTCTAAATTTTTATTATTTTTTTTTTCAGGTTAAAAGTATATAATTTCACAAGGAACACTGGGACTCATCCTGCTGTGAAACCATTGCTCAATTTCTCTCAGCAGTGGTAAGGTGCCTACAATTCTTAAACTGCTGAATAGGCCCTGTTAAAGTCAGGGCACTGGTATTGCGGATGACAGCTGACGCTGGGATATTGGCACATGGCTCAGAATGCTGTAACAGTGTGAGATTTTGCTCCAGGGTTCCCAATGCTTGCATAGTTCATATATGTCAGGCCCTTGGTTAATCATAGTTCACTGTACAGTGAATGCATCCTATTGACTTGTACAGTACCAAGCAGTTAATTTAAAACAGATGACGCTGTCTGTCTCCTGCTACCTTTCCCACTCTAAAAGAACAACCAAACACCAATGGACTGAACCCAAATTCTACTGTAAGTGCTAGAAAACAGGGAAGAAAGTGAATGAGAACTCTATTTGGTTTAGAGATGATGACCTTTTTAACAACAATATAAAATACACTTTCATGAGCAAAAAAAGAGTGAAGAAGAACTGGAAAGACGGCCAGGATAACTTATAAGATTGTACAATAAAAATAAATGCAGTCTAGTAAATTCAGAGGCTGACTTGTGTTTGTAGTTAAAAGTTGAAAGTCAAACACTGATTTTTGTGGAAGCAAAATTTATAAGCAGGACACGCTGCCAGTCAAAAGCAGGAAAGGTGGAAGGTGAAAGAAATTGACAAGTCAAAGTGAGAGGCTCCAGCTCTGTTAGTTTTCCTGGAAAAAGGGAGAGTGAGACGAAGAAATTTAGTTAAACAGTTTATTTGGTTACAGTGGGGGGGGTTATTAGTTATTAGTGAGTGGAAGGAAAGTCACAAATTGCCAGGACACAGACAGGCTGGTGGAAGGATTATGCAAACAGCATCATAAAACAGACTGTCTCCAGAAGACAGTTTCGTGTATTAATTGCAGGTGTACAGCTGAGCTAATGCAAAGCTATGAGTGGGAATGAACAATGCAAAGGAGTATTTTTATTGCCCCCACCTACCCCCAGCCCTTTCTCCCAGCTCCAACCCAGCTTTGTCTCAGCTGTACAGTGCTGACTTTGACAGTCTTCCTCTACTCTGTCTCCAGTTGCTACCTCCACCCCCAGCCTGGCTCAGCCACCTTGTTATTAATCATGTTTGCCTGAGTGCTTGGAGATACCCAAGCAAGTCTAGGCTTCAGCAGTTTGAAACCTAAGAGCACTTCTTATTTCGGAGCAATGCCAGCTGCTCTTCTCTGACCACCAGGCCAGATGGAGATCATCCAACATATCCAGAAAGAAGCCTTTGCAAGCATGGTGCTGCCCCTTTACAATGATGGACATCTTTCTGCTGAGGGTGGAGTGATTATATGAGCAGTGGGCCAGAATGTGATAAAGTTACCCATGAAAACACAATTTTTTAAGAACAGACTGAAGTTTGAACATCAGCCTTTGATTGGAGCTGTCTAATAATGCTCCATTAATGTTTTTTCTTGGGGAGAAAATATGTATGTGTGCAAGAATATGTATGTGTGTGGGAGGGGGTGCGTGTGTATGTGTGTTTACAAGTGTAGTTTGGTTTCCTTTGGGTTTTTTTCATTTCCAAAATTTTCCTTTTTTCTTTCCTCCCCCCTCAATAAATTACCTTCCTCCCTCCTACAACAAAATTACATGCATAAGGTGGGAAAGAGTAAAGGAATTCTTAATGCTTACTCTGAAATTTTCCATGAAAAATGCCATTTTTTGCTCTCTGTCTCTGCAATATAGACACAGTCAAATTTCCCACCCATGCAGGAATACTGTGGCGCTGTTATGTCCTTCCTCCCCTCGCCCTTTCCTTTCCTCCATCTTTCATCTACGTTTAGTAAGTTAGGTTCCTTTACCTTTTACTCGTATATCATACCTTCCAAGCAGCTTATCTTTATCACTGTTCATTCTATTCACTCTATTTTATTGCCATCCCCTTTGTATTGAGTTGCCCAAAACTGATCACAGTTTTCCAAGAGGGGCCTCACCAGGGCTGTGTATGGAGGTATTATTACCTCTGTAGTCTTGCAAGTAATTCTGCTCCACATCCCAGTATGGTATTTGCTTCTTTGTGCTACAGTCTCTCCCTGTGAGCTCATATTTAATCTGTCATCTACTATCACTCCCTAAATAAGTCCTCCAGCACTTCCCCTTTAGTAATAAAAACACAGAAAAATGTTTGAAGAAAAAGTGAGTTATCCCCTTGGGTGACTCTTTGAGAAAATCAGGGTTTTCATACAGCTGCAAAGACACTGAAACATAGCCTCACACTCTGCTTCCACATATCTGGGTTTTGGAGCTTTAATGCCAAGAGTAAAAACAGATATGGCATTTTCTAGCTGTACATATTTTCTTAATGTTTGCTGGTTGCAGTTCTGAACTACCCAGAGCACTGGGACAGTGGAAGAATGCCATATCTACTTTTAGAGTTCACGTCTACTAGACTTAGAACTCAGAAATCGTGCTGTGCTTCAAGTAGTTTGGAGTTATGTGTTGTTAATGCTGCTTCAGCTACTTGGTATTTTATGGAAATTGAGTGGATGCTACTGTACATGGGCAAAACTGGGACATGATTTTAGTCACAATTTACCATCTTGAGGTTTGGAGAGTTCTCCACTCTCCAGACTGGATTGCATTCAAGCACGTTTTAGAGTGAGCATTTTCTCAAAACTGTCTATCCTTCTTTTCTACTGCTGAATTTATTTAGAAGAACTTTGTTAATATTTGAAGTTGAAAAGCCTGTACAGTGTTTAATCTTCTCCTTCTTTTTGGCCAGTGAGCTGTCCTCCAGAATAAAAGTCTTTTCCTTTTTAGTCCATCTGGTTATTTAACTTACTTAATCACTGTGAAAAACACCAGTGAGGATTTGTAAACATTATGTGAGGAAGTATGATGAGCACATGTTTACCTTATGAGGACTACAGGAATTATGGTATGTAAAATCATAATGTGTTGAATATGTGGGTTGCCTGTTATTTTAGTATTCAGCCATTAACTTTTTCTCTATTTATTATGAATCAACCTAGGACTGTTAAATTCCACCAATACAGATTTTCCTTTCTTCCCATGTTTCTAGGATCTCCCTAGTAGTTTCTCTTCTGCTTTCCCTGAAGGAAACCAAGCATCACAAACTGCCGATGAGCAGTTCTTAGAATTGCCTGAACAGCCAAGTGCAAGAACTGAATGATGCAGAAAGAAAGACCCTATAAATATTGCAGAGCACCAGCATTTTTAAAGTGCTCCCTCTTTCCTGATTGCAGCATAAGAGCCTACATTCATAAGGCACGCCACCCTGAAATTGATGGGAACCTTTCTGTGGACTGCACAGTTTGTGTACTAAGCCTCTAGGTTCTTGAAGTGAACCCTTGCTGCTACAAAGAGCTCTTAAAATTACATTTAAATTGGAAATAGAAATCTCTTCAGCCCTGACATTGGAGCAGAGTTATTATTTCCCATGCCTGTCTTCTCTCACTCAGGAAACTGCTGCAACATGAAACCCTCTTCTGATTGTTCCTCCTCCAAATGCCTTTCTCAACTGCCTGAACTCCACTATTTCCTTGTGAAAGGAGGAAAAATATGGGAATTCAGGCAAGCAGAACATTCCTTGCACTCAGACTGAAAAAGCAAGGTCAAGAGGGGTCTAATATTCCCAGCCACTGAAATTTGTTTACCTTCTTCCTCCGTCTTGGCACAGGAACGTGTAAAGTGCAATTCCCAGTTCTGTAAACTACAGCAGCATAACCAAGGAGAGCCCTCAGGTGTGCTTTAGGGCTCATGAGAAGATATTTTTCCAGCAGTTTAGTGTTGCAGAACTAGCAGTGGTGACATTACATCTATGTACACCTGTGTGCAGCTCTGGACATGCAGCTTGTTTTAAAACCAGCAGCTTAATAAATTAAATCTGCTCACCTTAACAGGATGATAAATGAGAGGGAACATGGCTGTTAGGTGAGAGGGAAGAGCTGGTGGGGCAATTTTTAGCAAAGAACAGAACTGCAATAGGCAGAAATTGTTACATGCTCTCTGTAAAGACTTTGGTTGTTTTTCGCCCAGAAATGAGGTGAAGATCCTTAACCACTTGATGGAGGTTCTGGAGCAGCAAGCAAACAGGCAGAAATCATGGAATCATAGAATCTGCACATACAAATAAGCAACGGAAACCTCAGATTGAGTTGTTGTCCTTTTGCAAGAGATATTAGGTAATTTGATTGCATGCAGTCATTTACAAGGGCTCCAGATGTGTCCCTTTGGGGATGCTTGATGGTTTAGCTGCTCATCTTGAGAACTGTGGTTTTTTGATCTGCACTGAGAAAGTGGACTGAAGAAATGTGAATCAGAATGCATGGGTCAGTTGTGAACATTGTTCATCTGTATCAATTCATTGGCTGTGAATGTAAGACTGTCTAAAAGAATGGTCAAGTTATCTCCCAAGTATTTCATAAGGTGTCCACAGAAAGGCAGTGTGATCGCAGTTGCAGACTGACTCATGGTCATACTGCTTAAACAATAACCTTCTTTGGGTTCTGCTTGGAAGGAGAAGGAGTGCTGGCATTTCTGTCTGGCTTGAAATGGGAAATATAAAATCTTCAGAGGTCCAATACAAAGGCAACAAGTATGGACAAGATGATTGCTTGGCTTCACTTCATGCTCTCAAGTTCATATTAACAGCTTTCTTATATGAATCAAAACATCAGAATGGTACCTAGCTTTAAGCCTTAAAAGGAGAGTGGTGATGAGTGGAAGTTACACTGTTGTCAACAGGTATCACGCATAAGCTTTGTGCATTCTTTCTTGATTGAGTTGGTTATCATCTATAAAAAAAATCCAACAAGTGACGCTTTAGTGACCAAAAAAGCATGTGCAAGTGTATGACTGGCTCTGTTGAATATTTCACAGTCAATGCCATACAGAATTCTGTCCTTCCAAACTGTAGGTCTTTCAATTCTGCCTGAATTTGGTTCTGTGGATTTTCTTACTGAAAATGACCTTCCTCTGAGAAACTCACTGCAAGTGTCTGGGATGACCTTTTCTTGGTCATGTACAGAGCAATATTTTGAGCAATATGTGGTTGCTTTGATTTTTCCTCTATCAGGCAGTATATCAGGACACAAAAATAGAGCAGCTCAACTGCAGGCATCCAGTGACATCTGCCAAAGGCTGCATTCCTTTGTGGAGGTCTGTGGCTCACCAGGTACTGACCAGGGGATGAGGTGATATCTGCCTGTGCAGTGATCTTCTGTGCACTTCAAACACAGCTACTGTCAGGAACTGGACAATGTGAAACTCTTGGTTCAGTTTCTGGTCACTTCTCTCACCACCATTCCTTTCCTAGTTTGGAGACAGATTGGAGCATTTCCTTCTTTTGTTTATTTCACATGGGAACAAATGGTTCATTTCCCTCTGTCCCAGCTGCTCTGAAAGGTTTTCTAGTTTCTCCAGAATATATTATGCAATTCTGCAGAGCAAGTCCTTTTTTTCTTTTCAACTCCATGCCTTTACCATGTATTGTAATCTGTCTGCTCTGATTAGGTTCATCCTATAGAATCACTGCCAAATTCTCTTTTACACAGCAATGTTTAGTCTTCAGCCTGGGAGCTATGTACAGTCCTTTTAAGACGTTCATACATCAATATCAGTCCTGACTAACCCCAAGAAGCTTTGGATGGCAGGAAGAAGAGAAGCTTGAGGTTAGCTGTGCAAGTTACAGGACGAACACCGCACTCTTTACTCTGGCCAAACTCCCACTAACAAAAATTAGGTTTGAGACTGGGGCTGCAAATTTGAATTCTGATATATTTGTGCAGGCCACTGTCTCACCAAGCACTGGGTACTGCTTTTGTTAGAGAAGGTCACTGCTCATTTAAGAAGGGACCCAGTGGGTACCTCACATTTGCTTAGGCAAAAGCAAATTTAACCCATGAAATGTTTCCTTGTAAAAAAAGAAAACCAAAACATTGCAATGTTTTCTCACGTATTCATTAAATGTAGATGGATTCCAAATCAACACGATTGCTGACATCAGTGACAATAATAACTTTTTATTCTTTAATTAATGCTTATATTGCAGCAGTGCGTGGAATCCAGGCAGGCTGGGGCAGTCCCGTAAACACATGCAGTTACAGAAATCCCTGAGCAGCCCTAGACAAATTGAAACCGCTAGGACCTTTACAAAACTGTGGATTATATCCTTATCAAGGCTTGGTTAAAATTTCAGGGTGGTGGAGAAATGGCAAACATTTTAACATGAGAAGTGGTCATGACTTTATGGCTGGGTACAACTGTGGGGGCTTGGCTGGCCGTAAGAAAGGATGGGTAATCCTGCTGCTGAGGGCAGAGGGAATTAAGAAGCCACAGTTAACATGGGAGCTGTGTTGGCTGAGGAGGCCACTTAGCAAATTCCTTACTTGAGCATTCAAGGGCACTCTCTCGCAACTTGATCCTCACTTTTCCAAGCACAGGGAGGAGAAGAATGTTTCACTGTCCAGAAAGCACCCGGGCCTTGAGATAAATGAGGATCGAAACAAACGTTTCCATTCATATCAGGGGCCCCTCCCCACTAGCGTCCTCACTGATCTGTAAAAACCTTCTTTGTAAGTGGTTTCTAAAGCATAATCTGTGCTTTTAATACCGTTTGATTGAATAATTCCAATGCAAGTTTTGTTTTTTAAAGGTTTTGAGAAGTGTTGCAAGTAGCAAAAGTTTTTAATAGAAACCTGAAGCCACTGACTGAGGAAAATTTCCTCACAACTGCTCCTGTTGTGGAGAAAACTGGAGAAAAATCAAGTCCAAAAGCACTGAGGGTCTTGTGAATAGCTACATAGTGGAATTCAGGGGCTTCGTTTCAGTAATTGTGGTGAAATTGCTCCCAGCAGAGGCAAGGAGCAGAAGAGAAATTTTTAAAGGTCTAAGCAGGCAGTAGCGGAGTTCTACCTGCCTCCCTAAAGCACTCAAGGAATCCTGAGCACAGAATTAGCTTACAGGGCTTTTCTTTTCAGGGCAGATCTCTTTTTCTTTCACCACCCACAAGTTCGCACCAGATACTGAGTGAGCTTTACAGGGAACAGGATTTGTTTTCTCTAAAGCGCAGTAGAAAACCAACAGCCCTGAAATGGTAAAAGTGGAACAAAACTGAAGGGTGTGTGCCTGTGTGTGTAAGGATGGTTTGTTCTTTTTTTCTTCTCTCTTTTTTTTTTTCTTTTCTTTTCTTTTTTTTTTTTTTTTTTTTTTTTTTCTTTTAAAGAGAGCTTCAATCAGTTTAGTGAAAAGTCACATTCACTCTTTGGTGAGGTTGCAGACCAAGGTTACATTGCAGCTACGAATAATTTGGAAAACAACATGTAGGCTTGAAAAATGAACCATTCATTCACATATATAACTTAGTATATCATCCTCGATCATAATTATAGACAGATTTGGATTGAAGCGATTATTGAATGCATTGTCCTTAAAGATAATCAGGGACAAGACCACTAGTGACACTGTGATGGAAAGGACTAAACAGGGCAGTTCATCATCACAGCCCTTGAAATGGCTGAGATATGCAAAAGTGCACATTTTATCCAGGAAGTACAAATAGTACAAAGGGAGGAAGGGGGAAAAAAACCGAAAAGAAGCAGAAAAAGAAAAAAGAAAAAAAAGCCCTAAGAAGAGGGGAATCAGGTGGCTTTGCAGACTGCTGTGTTTGAGGAACAATATGACAGAGGCAGAGCAAGATGATGATAACCTGAAAAAAGTATAATTTGTCATGATTACCTCTTTTTTTCTTTCCTCTCAATGCAGTCCATTTTGCAGTTTGCACCCATTGCAATTTATACCTGGGTAAAAAGATGGCTTGGGTAAAAGACAGTTTACTTAGGAGCATACTTGGGTAAAAGACAGCTTAGCAAAGTAAAGTATAATTTAATCCCTTCACCTACCTGGGCCTGCACTAAGTATTTTAGATGTCTTGAAACCTCAGTTAATGAAGCCCCTTGCGAAAGTCTATTAAATGCCTTGTGGGTGGGATTTATTTCTTGAAGGACACCAAATAGCAGGGAGGGTTGATTTCTGAGTGCGGTATGATTCAGATAATACTATACTTCCTCATCCTGTGGCAAATGCCTTGTATACATGTTTCTTCTCCACTTTCATTAGTCAGCCCTGTCCACCTCTATAATTTTTCTAGAGACAAAATCTATATATTCTCTAAGTAATGTGAACTGCTGATTATGTTGCTTTTGGCTACTGATGCTTTCAGTTTGTAGGCTATTCCATCCAAAGGTAATGGCACTGGTGTGACTGTCAGTGTATATAAAGATGTATCTGTGAAAGAGGTCAGAGAAAATAGGGAGTTTATAATCCTGGGATCCCGGGCAGTCCAACTATCAGCAGGGGGATATGGCAATTGCCCGTTATTCTGTATTGCTGCAGAAAGGGGACAGAAAAACTCA